CACATTGACCCCTCACCATACCACCTCCACGCGCTCTCCAGAAAGAATCTAAAGCTCACCCCACAGGCCTCTGACCACTGCTGTCTGAAGCTCTGCGTGCAGCTCCATGCCAGGCCCAGTCGGGCGGACGGGGCCCAAGGCACACAGGCATCAAGCAGGACTGGGGAGCGTCCAGGGGCTGGGGGAGCAGCAGATGCCGCATCCAGAGGCTGGGGAGTGCCCGGGTGCTGGGGGAGCAGCAGGGGCTTGGAGTTGGCAGTTGCACCCACTTCTCTCCTCCCACACTTGCTCCTGGGTTTTGGGGATTCCCATCAGGGAAGTCAGCAAAGCAGAAATTCTGATTTGAGTGCTCAGGAGTGAGGCCCCAGCACTGCCTGTTGGCTTTTTTTCAGTCCCCAGGTGTTTCTCCTGTGCACAAGGGTTTAATACATCAACTGTCTATGGCATCTGTGTCTTAACTAGGCTCCAAGATGGAAGGAATGATGGTCTCGTGGAAGGATCTCTAGGTAGCTGGGGTGCAAGGAGCAGCATGCAGACTCAGCAGGGTCCCTTCCTCCCTGGGCACAAGGCCACCTGCCCACACTGTGCCTCCTTTCCAGCTCCCAAATGTAGCTTCAGGCTCCCCAGACAATGGTGCTAGACCACTTTGAAACTGTACAGAGGCACACACCTGAGGCATTATTTAGACCTAAGAAGAAAGGCCCATTACTTAAAATGAAGATGAAGTGACTCAACAAAGGCAGGCAATGGTCTAAAGAGAGAAAATCAACTCAAAGTCACACAGCAACATAGTTCAGGCTGCATGTTCACATCTGAGCTGATAGCCTGCCCTAGGATGTCTACTTTGACAGAGCTGGCTGTGTGATCTTTCCAGCATCCCCAGAAACTGCAGGGTCCTCACCTCTCAGAGCCTGCAGCCCTTATGCATGTGAGCCGGGTCTCCAAGGGGCTCCACCGGGCTCCACGGGGCTTGTTGTGCAGGCAAGCAGGCATGAGGGTGGGAATCCCAGTCACCAAAGGGTTTCCTGCACCCTGCTTCACAGAGTAGCCCAGGCCGGGAAGAAACGGGGCTGCAGCCACAGTCATGGGGCCTGTGGGCGGCTTGGGGGTGGCCCGGTGCCCGCTGCATGGCACTGCTGAGAAACGCTGCACAGTGGGCACCCAGCAGAGCTGGCTCCACGTGCCGGCACGGTCCCCTGAGGCCTTGTGTGTCTTGGCAGCTGCCTCCCAGCTGGCCTGCCCTCAGCACTGGTGCCATGAGGATGTGGTTGCAGGAGGCCAGAGAGCTCTGCAGCCACCCCAAAGCTCCTGGGCTTTGGCACGGAGAGGAGAGTGTTGCCTCAATCCACCTGCAGCCAGGCCACTGTCAGGGTGCTGTGCAGAGTGTGGCTGGGTTTCCTGGACTGTCCAGAGCCTGAGCCCTCCAGGAAGCTGGAGACTCACATCCCCAGCGCCCAGGGATGGGGAGGACCCTGGAGTTAGGGAAAGGGGGCTAAGGTGCAGCGTCCCTCCCAAATCCAAAGAGCACTGGATGCAGTCACAAGAGAACTGGAGTGCAGAAGTACCACTGGCCAAAACCAGGACAATCCAGAAAGAAGTGGAGACTGGATGGCGGGATGGAAAGAGATTGCGTGGAATTACTATAAGGAAGAAAAATCAAACGGGAGAAGGACATGAAAGATTAGAGGCCAACCCCAGAGACTAGAAATAGAGGCAGCACCTGGAGACGCTAGGCAGGCGGGCTCCATAACTGCAGGGCCCAGCGGGTACAAATCTGGGGAAGGGAAGGGGAGATGAGGGGGACGCAGAAACTGCTGATGGGACCGGGGAGGATGAACCAGGAGGCTGCCTGGCTTCCAGGCCTCCCAACCTGGGACTGCGGGGATTTCCCAAACCGGCCAAGCCTGAGCCGAAGGCAGAGTGAGGAGGCCATCTAGCGGCAGGGGCCGGAAGGAGGGGCAGGGGCAGTGCCCAGGAGGGAGCCTGGGGGCTGGGGCAGAAGAGGAGGCAGCTTCTGTCCTCAGCAGGGATGCTGGGCACGGGGTGGAGGTGGGGGAGGGTGGGGGAGGGAAAGCTGGAGGAAGGAGCGAGGGAGGGATGCGCATGACCCCAAGGAAGAGAGGCAGAGCCCAGGTAGATGAATAATGGAGCCCCAGCATGTCTGGATGTCTGGCCTTGTCAGGGAGGCTGGGGTTTGGAGCCTCTGCTGGTGCGGGGAGGGGGCCAAATGGACTTGCTGGGGGCAGGTGGGGAAAGGCAAAGAGATAGAAGTGCCTGGCGTCTGGCGGGGAAGGCAGTGCTGGACCGTGGGGATCGGGTGGGATGGAAGAACGGGGAGTGAGGGGCGGGAGGGCAGAGCAGCAGCTTCTCTGGGGGGCTCAGTCAGCAGCCTGGTTCTAAGACAATACACATAATTGGGATTACTTTCTGTGCCGAGTTCCCCCAACCCACGCGGAGGCGCAGGCCCTCTAAACTTAGGCGTGGGGGCAGGCTTTCTGGCCTATCATTATTTCACTCTGGAGGACTGGTCAGTCCACAAGGGGGGTGGCCCCTGATGTGCTCTCCAGGGTGTCCAGGGCTGTCTGGAGATGGAGGGGAGGGAGGGGGCCCCACGCCATCCCTTGGGGCAGGGAAGTTTCAGGAAATGCCCTGAGTCACCCAAACTCAATGCCAAGCCACATCTTCTCCCTGCACTCTGCCAAGAGGGAGCTGACCGCACCTGGGGGCACCCCACGTCCAGCTGTGCCCACGCAGAACTCTGTGCAGCTCAGGTTTTTGCTTCCAAAGCACACCCCGCCCACCTGCCCTTTGCAGAGGTGAGCTGTGTGCACATGCCACCTCCCGGCGGGCCTGCGCACCCAATCTCTCAGGCCCCAGGGTGGCAACCCCTGTGGGGGGCCTTCTGTACTCACCTGCATTTGTAAGGAGTAGGTAGCGGGGAAAGACGGGGGGAGGAGGAGAGACTGGGGCAAGAGGAGATGCCAAGGGTGGAGGGCAGGGTGGTCAAAAGGTTTGCAAGTGTCCCACTGGGCCAGGTCGCTGGTCCAGCCCAGAAACCACCCAGTGATGTGACATCCACATGCTGTGCAGGTAGACACATCAAACAGGTCGGCCTCCTCTGGAGAGGACCCGGGTCCTGTTTTGTGTCTGTTTTTACTGGGAATAGGACAGGCAGCGCAGACACACCACCTGGAGAACCCCTGTGTTCAGCTGAGCTCCGGCTCCACTCAGTGGAGACTGCCAGGGCCTGGTCAAGTGGACGCTGCTCCCGCATGGCGCTCTCCTCCGGGGATTGTGATGCTTCACAAACCATGGAAAAGAACAAGAAAAAGAGGTGGGATGGGGAGCCTGGGTCAACCTCCCCGAAGGGACCCAGACCACCAAGTGTTGTTAACGTTCAGCCTCTTATGCCCAAGACACATATCTTAAGATGCTCCTCTCCTTCTCTCCCCCACCACACACCCACGAAGTTGATCTGCAAAGGAAACTTCTGGAAACTTCCATTGTTTGAGGAATGAGCTTCACAAGGGGCCTCTCCCCCTCCACTCCAACGGCCTGGGGTCAAGGGAGAGTGTTTAACTTCACAGGGCCCCATTTGCAGCATCTGATGACTCCTCAGGGTCAGGATTTCCCCTCCACGTAAATAACCCTCACTCCCTCATCCTATGCTAGAGGAATTATTGTACATGAGTGGGATGGGGGATGAGGAGGGGAAGGGCATGATCTGTCAAAAAAAAAAAAAAAAGAAGGGTTGAAAAAAAAAAAAAAAAAGCAGGGTTGGGGGGAGCTTCAAATTTTATTTTCCTCGTTTAATTAGGACTTTTGAGATTTTTTTCACTTTTTCTGCAAAAAGTGAAGTGATGATAGACTCAAAGATTGCCAACTCCTAGGCACTGTGCCCTCTTTCTAGGAAGCCCCTCATTAACCAGAACACTGTTCCCCCAGGGCCCCTGACCTCTTGGGCTGCAGCCCCTAGAACCTGGTGGCTCCTGTGCCTGAAGGCTGATGGCCTGCTGAGCCCCCACACAAGGCCAGCTTTGCAAGGAGCCTGAATTCCACATTCAGCTCATCCCTGGCTCTGCACTTTGCTCTGATCGATCGTGGGGGTTGTGTGAGTACAGCTTCGCCCACTCGCCTGCCCCCCCCAACACACCCTGCAATGGCCTCCACACACCCAGCGCACACACTGACCCCCACTCTCTCCTCTGTGCTGGGGTGCAGGCCCCAGACCTACTTTGCCCATCCACCCTGACGCCCGCAGTTCACTCTGTACCTGCCCTTGAGCACGCCTCCATCCCATTTGCAGAGCTCTACCAAAAAAAAAAAAAAAGTATTAATTGAAGCACAATAAAAGAGCACTATTTTTACATTTTTCTAAGGCGCTTAAAGCATTTCAAATGCCAGTGCTTTAAGTTATGGTCACTCATAATTATCCTCGGTCCACAGAGGCTGAGTCTTCAGGAGGGGCTCAGTCCTCTTTCTTCAAAATGCAGGGAGAAGGAGCCTGCACTCTAAAGTCCCTGGGGAAGAAAAATTAAATAACAGCTGGGCAGCTGTGCCCCTCAAATGTGTGAACGACTCTGTGCTTGATGACTGAAGCTTGGTGGTGGTGGTCGGGGGGGGTTTAAACTGTCCTTTAAAAACTTAAGTTGGTTTTAACTGAAGCACCTACCATTCCAGGCAAAGTCAGGGGGAAACACAAGGGTGTACACAAAGCCGGGAGTAACTGCTGTTTCCACAAGACATGCGCTCCTCCCTCCCGCCCACCTTTATCTCAGGAAAGATTTTTTTTTTCAAACTCGAAGCCTTCAGGTGAAAATAAAGCAACAGCAGCAACAGAAAAAAAAAAAAATGTAGTCTTCTTCAGGGTTAACATCAGAAGACAAGCTTGTGCGGCTTTGGCCAATCAGATGCGCCCCTGGCAGCTATAATATAGTGCTAAAGGCAGCCTCTCTCACAAGCTCTCCAGGCTTGCTACCATTTAAAATCAGACTCTTTTTGTCTTTTGATTGCTGTCTCGCGACCCAACTCCGATGTGTTCCGTTATCAGCGGCCGGCAGCCTGCCATTCCAGCCCCTGTCTGGGTGGGGAGCGGTGGAGAGTGCCCCGCAGCCGCGGCGGGCAAGGTTATATAGGAAGAGAAAGAGCGAGGCAGCCGGCGAGGGAGCGAGCGGGCGGGCGAGCCGGAGCGAGGAAGGGAGAGCGCAAGAGAGAGCGCACACGCACACACCCGCCGCGCGCACTCGCGCACGGACCCGCACGGGGACAGCTCGGAAGTCATCAGTTCCATGGGCGAGATGCTGCTGCTGGCGAGATGTCTGCTGCTAGTCCTCGTCTCCTCGCTGCTGGTGTGCTCGGGACTGGCGTGCGGACCGGGCAGGGGGTTCGGGAAGCGGCGGCACCCCAAAAAGCTGACCCCTTTAGCCTACAAGCAGTTTATCCCCAATGTGGCTGAGAAGACCCTAGGCGCCAGCGGAAGATATGAAGGGAAGATCTCCAGAAACTCCGAGAGATTTAAGGAACTCACCCCCAATTACAACCCCGACATCATATTTAAGGATGAAGAAAACACCGGAGCGGACAGGCTGATGACTCAGGTAGGAACCCAGCGCCGGGGCGTGGAATGTGTGGCTTTCCAGGGGGTTAGGAGAAGCCGAACACTTCCAGACTTAACTCTGTTTGCTCTTGGGGCAGATAGGAAGGTGATTTCACCCACTTCTTCCCCACCCACCTGCCCGCCCCCCATCTCTTCCTGTTCCTGGAGGAGAATGGAGGTCAAGGGTCCAGCTGGAGAAGTTTAGGGTGTGGTGGGGGTGAGGACGGTAACAGACGTGGTTCATTATGGCCCTGATTTGATGAGTCTTGCTACAACGGCCTTCCCCATCCTACTTCTGCCCTGGCTTGTAACTTGGGGAGACCTTCACTTGGGGGGTGTCGGCCCTTTCCAAGTCAGGAGTGGAAATGGAAGGAGAGGGTGGGAATCCCCCTCCCACAAACACGGAGTGGCCTCCGGGCACTGTGCAACGAACGTAGCTTTGGGCATTGGAGCTCAGGGCCCCCACGTTTCCCGTCGCCTCTGTGGTTTTCTTTCCCACTACAACCCCCACCCTACACCTCCCCACCAAAGAATTCTGGAAAAGCCAGGAGGCAGTTATGACAAAAGGCAGGGGCTCCAGAGGCGACTCCGCCCGTCCCTGGGTCCCTGGCTGTATCGCAGAGCTGGCTTTGAGATTGCATGTCCGCAATTGTGCCCATCAGAGTGTGAATGTATTGATATTTCTTTAAGGATGCTCTTTCCTTCTTCCAAGCCCGAGGTACCTTAGGGGAGGGACTTAGAACTTATTGGCATTGCATCACTTTAGTTTTCAACCTGCTTGCATAAGAATTAAGAGAGAATAAATATTAGTGTGGGGGGAGGGGAAGCTAAGCAAAATATGAATTCCTCTCTCTCTCCCCACCTCCTTTGAGATTTCTGAGCTGCCAATCTCCCAGCCAATTCTAGACTTTCTGAAACTCCATGCACGTATAACTGAAGCCAGAAATGGGTTTCCTTGCAAATATAGGTCAACATCCTTTTTATTGCCCTATTAAAATATTCAAGTCCTACCTTTAGGGCTAGGTGCGCACAGCGGCTGATGGAGTGGCGCTGGTGGGGCGCAAGTGCAGGGGGAGGGTACGGACGGCAGAGAGAGAGGAGCTACCTCTGGGCCGCCCTGCTTCCCCGACCCGATTCCCAGGCTTGCTTGGGGCCGAGAAAGGCGAGGAGCAGGCGAGGTAGCCTGCTCCAGCTGTCGGAAAGGAGAGGAATGGGAAATGGTCCTGATTTCCTTGTTCTCCCTCATCTGCTTCCGACCACCTTAAATCTGGACCGCGAGTGTGGACGCGCGTGCCAGTGCCAGAGAGCAGCGCGATCCACAATTAACTCTGCACGGGCCACGGGGTGCCCGGTGTGTGCAGCTGGCTGGAGGGAGTTCTCCGGCTAGCCTGGGGCGCCCATCCTCTCGTCACCCTCGCTCCCTGCGGAGGAGGGGACTTGCCAGGGTCCCTCGGAACCCGATAGGAGGGAGGCGCTGCGGAGAGAGCAGCGGGGGCGTGGACACCCGAGGTCCCAGAGCCAGAGTGGGTCAGCTTCTGCCCTGGTCTGCGGGAGGCCAATACTGCAGAAGGGGTCCTGGGCTCGCACCCCTTCCCAGGACTCGGGCCTTGCCGCCCTGCTGCAAAGCTGCAAGCGCGCAGAGCCGCGCAGCGAGGCAGTCGCATGCAGCCCCACTTACTCCCGGGTTATCGATCCCCCGCGGCTAGGGTTTCAGTGCGCGCGGGGTTGGGCTGGAGCCGCCGGGCTCTGCCGCTCCACGCGCCGGAGCGCAGGCAACGCAGGAGCTAACAGCAGCGCCGGGTTCGCGGTAGCGACCCCGGCGGCGGAGGCGCGGAGATGGGGGCGCCCGCGCAGGGACCAGGGCGCAGCGCGGGCTCCGCCGGCCTGCCCTGGGCCGCGCCCCCCTCCCTAGTCCGCCGCCTGCCCGGCCTCTGGGCCTCCGCGTCCCAGCCGGAGCCCCCAGACAGGGGGCCTACCCCCGACCCCCGCCCGCCCTACCCGGGGACGCAGGGCCCAGCGGCCCCGCGCCCGGCCACTCTCGCCGCCGCGCGCACAGGCAGCATTTGAACTTCTGACCTTCTGTCAACTTCCCTCAGACGAACGAAACGAAAACAAATACTTTTTTCCTTGGGCAGTGGCTATTCCCGTTCCCAACACAAAAGGAGGGGGAAGGACGGCCCAAGTGGGGGTTGGGTGGGGAGAGCCAGGCCGGGATTATCAGGCAGACCCCACAAAGGTCCCCTAAAACCGAGGGGGGTAGGGGCTGGCAGTCTGTGAGGTACCCCCAGTTGATCCCTCCCCTACCTTCCTTCTCCCGATTTCAGGAGGTAAGGGTGCGGGAGGAAGGGATGGGGAAGGCGGAGGCTCGGGTGCTGAGGGCAGGGGCCGGGTGAAGGAGGAGGCAGGGAGCCCCAGGCCCGCGGGAGGTTTGGGGAGCCTGCTCGGACGCCCTCATTTTAAATAACCACCTAGGCTCTGCCCCAGCTGCGTGGCCCTCCTCTTCTGTCTCCCTCCCTGTCTCTGGGTCTCTAATGTGACTGCCGCCCAAGTCCCTCAACCATGGCGAGATCGTCCCCAGTGGAACTTTCAGAGCAGTTCTGGAACGCAGGAGCTGCCGGTTAATATTAACCCGGGAGAGGAAAGCGCAGACAGACACGCTCTCCTCGCGCTGGCCTAGGGTGCCAGGCGAGGGTGCTGGCGGCCAGGGGGGTCCTAGGGGGCAGAAGGCCCGAGGGCCGGATCTGAAGCCTGGAGTAGGGTCCCGAGCCGCCACACTAAATAGATTTCCTGTGCGCTCTGGGGCCGCCAGAAAAGACGCTCAGGTGTGGGTTTGGGGAGGGGCTGTTCCACCAAGCCTGGGGAAAGGACAGTGGAGAGAGGTGCGTTTTGGGGGCTGGGGCTGTTTTGAGGTTGGGACGCCCCCACCCCCGCGCTGGGGGAAGCCCACCGGCTGCTGGCGGTGACAGTCGGCGCGGCTCGCAGATCAGGGAGGTGGGCAGGAGCTCAGGCGTGGGGAACAACTTGGCCTCAGCCGACACAAAGCCCGGCCCCGGCGGCCCTGCTGGGCTTCACGGTGGCTGCACAGAGTCGGGCTTGATTCGCGGCACACGACCCAATGAATTAATAACCGGCCTGGGCTTCCCGGCTTTGCCTGCGACAATCCCGCCCAGCGCGGGCGGAGGAGAGGCCGCCAGCCGAGGCCGCACGGAGCCCGGCCGGGGGAGGGCTCGAGGGGCGGGGGCGCCAACTCCGGCAACCCTCGGCCTCCGCCCCTCACCCGCGCAGCCACCTCCCGTCGCGGCCCGGCTAGGCCGGGGTCTCCCTGCCCCGGGTCCTCCATGCCTGCCCAAGTGGCGCAGTTCCCAGAGCTGGGGGCCGGGTCCTCCTCACCCTGCCGCCCTTTCCCTGGCTGCCCTCCTGGGAAGCTGTTTAAAGCTTCATCGGCGCAGCCCCAGGGGAGGGAGCTGCGGTGGGGTGGGGGGCTTGCATGGGGGGTCCGTGTGCGTGTTGGTGGTGTGCGCCTGCGCGCAACGGGCCTCACATCACAGCTCTAAACTGACCCTGGTTTACTGATTGATTTTCATGTAAAACGCGTTCAATCCTCAAGATGACCTCACTCAAATTCTGCCCTTCCGACTTTTTTTTCTTTAACTGCTGGCAGGCCCAGAAACCTGCAGGCACTGACCTGTTACCAGGGCGGCCCCCAGCCCTACCCCACCCCCAGTTGTTGTATGTTTAACTCTACAACCATATTACTGGTTTTTATTGCTGCCAGATACACAGGACTTTTCCTGTTGCGCAATATGTCACGTCCCCTTAAAGCGCGGCAGCAGTGGGGCCAGCGTCCTCGCCCCACCCTCTCGAAAGGGTCCCCCCACCCACGCTACAGTTAGGGCCCTGGACAGAAGCTGTCCTTCCATCGCGACAACCAGACTCCAAGCAGAGCATCCTTCCAGACTGGAGGAGGTTAGAGGTCAGCCCCGCCCTCTGCAGCAGTCACCTTGAAATTGCCCCTCGGCCTCCACTTGGCGCAGCTTCTTGGGGGATGCCACCATCATCATCTGTGCCAGTTCCCCCTCTGTAAATCCCGTGTCCCACCAGCAGCAGCAGGATAAACATCCAGGAAGCAAGTCAGTGCCCCCACAAACACACACAGTGGATTCAACTGCTTTCTGTCGCATCCTTATCTGAAAGTGACCCAAGGGAACCCCCACAATCTGAGTGTCAGGTAACCCCGTCTGCATCTGCCTAGTCAGTGCTTCCTGATTCCTACCAGGCAACTTCCTGGGAGACTCCCCAGGCGGAGGACTCAGAGACCTCAGGCCTTCCTGGCTCCCCTCCCCCTCCTCTCAAACCCCTCCCCCTCCCTCCACCTCTTCAGTTTGCTCTTCAAACTTGCTGGACACCATTCTATGCTGGGGCCAAGAAAACAAGAGGGGAGGAAGGGAACAGGTTAAAGAAAACAAGAAACACAATCAGACCACAGAAAAGCCAGGCAGAAAAGAGTTCCACGGGCAAAAAGAATGTGGCTGTCCAGATAAAGAATGTCTGTCCCGGCCCCAGCCCGTGCTGCAAGTGGTAACTCACCTAGCCGCCTTCCACCTAGGCTCCCGACCACCCTGCAGCCCCGCCAGCGGCTTCTGGCCTCCCCTCTGCCTCGGATAGGGTTAGGGCCTGAGGCAAATAAATGCAAGGCCTTCAATTCTCAAAGAAACGCGCAGTGCATTTTTCTTTATTTCTGGGAACTTGCACCCAGGTATCTGTCAGGCCTGCTGTGAGGGATTCTACACGGAGAGAAGGTGGAGCCTTCGCAGGTGGAGAAAGGGGCCGCAGAAGAGGGGCTGGAAGTGGAGGGCAACGTGGGGGCGGGGCGGGTATCGCAGAAGGTGCCCCTGGAGGGTCCCGGAGTTAATGTCCGAATCATGCAGGTCACTTGTTTCAGAGAAACTTTATTTGCTTCTTAGGCCCCGCTAGGAGCATCGGCTGTTTCAGGACCTGGAGAAAGGCCCCCAGCTCTACTCTGAGAGGACGTGCTCCTCCATGCTCCTCCGCAAATGCTGCCCCTCTTCCCCAGCCCGGGGCTCAGCTCTTCCGTGTGTTTGGGCCGCTCCAACTCCCGTCTCCCCACCTCTCCGCATGGCCCTCGCGCCTTGAGACTGGGCAGGGCAGGCTGACCGAGGGGCCGGGAGGGGTGGCGGCCGCCCAGGCTAACGTGTCCGTCGGTGGGGGTCCCCTTGTCTTCGCAGAGGTGTAAGGACAAGTTGAACGCTTTGGCCATTTCGGTGATGAACCAGTGGCCAGGAGTGAAACTGCGGGTGACCGAGGGCTGGGACGAGGATGGCCACCACTCAGAGGAGTCTCTGCACTACGAGGGCCGCGCCGTGGACATCACCACGTCCGACCGCGACCGCAGCAAGTACGGCATGCTGGCCCGCCTGGCGGTGGAGGCCGGCTTCGACTGGGTGTACTACGAGTCCAAGGCGCACATCCACTGCTCGGTGAAAGCAGGTAAGCTGGCCCTGGACCCCCGATCCGCCCCCACGGAAGGCCACTGGCAGACCCTTGGCTTAATTCAAGGGAAAAAGAAACCTGGGGGGAGGCTGAGGGCCAGGAGCAGGGGCACTGGGCGATGACTGCGTTTCCGCGGTGGGAACCTGCCCTGTGAGGTGCCGGCCCCTCGAACTCACCCCTACCTTTGAGGCCACAGAGCCCAGGGTTCTCCATGACCCGAGGTGGGGTCCTGTGGCTTCCTGCCCGCTTCTGGAGCCCCCACTGCAGGGGGGTGGGAAAGCGTGACTGGGGGAGGGGCGCTGGCCCCTTCCAGGCGAGGGAAGGCAGCACTGCGCGGTTAGCCAGGTCTGGGCGAGCTCCTTCCTCTCGTTTAGGGCTTAAGAACCAACTGCCCCCACCGGCTGTCCCAAGCGCAGGGGCGTCTGTCCTGCCCCGGAGCTCGCGTCCTGGCTCCTCCCCGCCGGGCGCCCGTGGATCCTAAGCTGCCTTCGCTCACTCGCTGAGCCTTTGGGGAGAGGCCTGGTGGGCGGCAGTGAACCCAGGGGTAACCACCTCCAGCATCTGGAGGCCGCGCGCCCGAAGCCTGCGTTCCTACTGGGAGCCGGGCTGGAACGCCCTGGGCGGCGGGCAAGTCCCGGAAAGCCGGCCCGAGTCGGCGTGAGGCTGCCTTCTCTGGGCCTGCAACGCCACACGCTGTTGCTGGCGAGGAACAGCGGTAGAGGAGGCGCCATCGCGCGCACGCGAACCCCCGGCCTGGGGCTGTGTGCACAACGCTCTCCTCCGCCCGCATAAATTGGCACGTTTAGCAAAGCCGTTCACGGTGAATTTCGGGGAAACTCTGCCTTCCTCACCCCCCTTCCAGGTTTCCCTACTTGTCTCCTAAATTCCAAGTTAATGGCAATATGTTAGTAGGAAAACACTTTAAAGGTGTCAAGGCACACTTGTAGGTAAAGGCAAGCGTGGCTTCTCGTCCCCACAGAAAGCAAAGGCGTGGAGCGGGGGCGGCAGGGGCGGGTGTGCGGCCCAGAGAGCTCCCGGCCGCAGGGAGGCAGGAGGCGGCACCCCCACCTCGCGGCCTCGGCGGCGGCCCCTGGGCCCAGGGCGCTCCCTGCGCAAAACCTCCTCCCCGGCTCCCTGCCCTCGGGGTCCCCCTAGCGGGGGTCTCCGGAGGCCTCCTCCCAAGTGAGCAGCGCTAATCCATCCGCCGGATCGCGCCGGGAGAGCAGAGCCGCGGCGCGGGAGCCGCTCATTGGCATTCTGCGCACACGGGCGGGGGCGCGGGGCGCAGCGTGTCAAGCCGGGCCGTGCGACTCGACGACTCGGGCTAGCCAGCGCCCGGGGTCGCATTCCGGGGGGCTACGGAGGGCCTCCAACGGCCAGCCCCGCACTTCATGCCGGAGAAACCGATGAGAAGATTAAAAGCCCCCTGTAATTCCAGCAGGAAGATTCTTTCTGGCAATCTCTATTTGCAAAAAGCATGATCCCAGAGATTGGAATGCAAAGAAGACGGCCCTCCCCGCCCTCCTCCCCGGCCCCCTGCGCTCCGCCCCAACTTCAATTATTGTCCTCGGGACAGTGAGCCTCAGAGAGCGACAGAGGGCTCGAGAAAGCGGGTAGTCAAGGGGCCTTGAGACTCGGAGCTTCCAGCGCTCCGAACAGGCCCCGCCATTTAAAATTCAAATACACATCTTGAGTGCTTGGAAGAGAGGCCTGGCTGTGCAAATAGTGCTTGTGAATTGCACACGGGGGGGTTTGCACCTGAGCAAATAGGGAGGGGGAGGCCCGCGAGCTGAGGAGAGAGTGAGCTGAGAAAAGGGAGGGGAGAAAATGGAAGTGTCCGCTTCCAAGAGTGTCTCCTGTTTATCCCAGAAATCACAATGACAATGCTAGGCCCTTTATTGGATTTTAATTAGAAAATCCACACAAGCCTCGGATTTTCACACCTCGGCCAATCTCTGGAATGTTTGTCCAGTTGCTACAACTACTGCAGCTATTTTTCACTCCCCGCCCCCGCCCCTCCGCAGGCCCACGCCGAGGCGCGGCAGGGTGCTGAGGGCTGGCGGGTCGGCGGGCCAGGGGTTTCCGCCGCGCAGCCCGGGTGCTGAGCGCGCGAGCAGGCGCCGCGCCCCGCGCCGGGGCGGGAGGGAAGGAGGGTGCGCCCGGCGCCCGCGGGAGCTCAAGGAGGCTTCCAGAGGAATCCAAGTGCAGAGCAAACACCCTCTGGATGGATTCGCGGCGAGGCGGGGTGTGTGCGAAGCTGGGGGTGGGGTTGGAGGAAGGCGGAAGGAAGGAGTGACACCGGCCTCTGCAGGAAACGCCAGCCAACCTCTGTCACCGCCAGCGCAGACTTAGAGAGTTGTTAAGGAATGTGCCAGCGTAGGAATCCTGTCCCTGGGGCGGTGGGGTTGGGGGAGGGAGGTCTGTGCGGCACCCACCTGGAATCAATCGCCCCGCCCAGCGCTGAGCGCATCCCTAGCCTAGGCGCGCGGGCACCAAGCCTGCGCCCTCCTCCCCGAGACGCGCCTCCCTCTCGGAACTCAATGCCCTGTCCTCTCTTCTCTCCCTTCTCCTCACCCGCAGAGAACTCGGTGGCGGCCAAATCGGGCGGCTGCTTCCCGGGCTCGGCCACTGTGCACCTGGAGCAGGGCGGCACCAAGCTGGTAAAGGACCTGCGCCCCGGGGACCGCGTGCTGGCGGCGGACGACCAGGGCCGGCTACTCTACAGCGACTTCCTCACTTTCCTGGACCGCGACGACGGCGCCAAGAAGGTCTTCTATGTGATCGAGACGCGGGAGCCGCGCGAGCGCCTGCTGCTCACCGCCGCGCACCTGCTCTTCGTGGCGCCGCACAACGACTCTGCCGCCGCGGAGCCCGAGGCGTTCTCAGGCGCGGGGCCGCCTTTCGAAGGCGCACTGGGGCATCGGGCGCTGTTCGCCAGCCGCGTGCGCCCGGGCCAGCGCGTGTATGTGGTGGCCGAGCGCGACGGGGACCGCCGGCTTCTGCCCGCCGCTGTACACAGCGTGACCCTACGCGAGGAGGCCGCGGGCGCCTACGCGCCGCTCACGGCCCAGGGCACCATCCTCATCAACCGGGTGCTGGCCTCGTGCTACGCCGTCATCGAGGAGCACGGCTGGGCGCACCGGGCCTTCGCGCCTTTCCGCCTGGCGCACGCGCTCCTGGCTGCACTGGCGCCCGCGCGCACGGACCGCGGCGGGGACAGCGGCGGTGGGGACCGCGGGGGCGGCGGCAGCCGAGTACCCCCGCCTGCGCCAGGTGCAGCCGACGCTACGGGTGCGGGGGCCACCGCGGGCATCCACTGGTACTCGCAGCTGCTCTACCAAATAGGCACCTGGCTCCTGGACAGCGAGGCCCTGCACCCGCTGGGCATGGCGGTCAAGTCCAGCTGAAGCTGGGGGGCCCGGGGAGGGGCGCGGGAGGGGGCGGGGCGGGGCAGCAACAGCAACGCAAAGCAAAAAGACACTCGGAAAAGGCGCGCGAACCAGACTGAGTTATTATAATAATAATAATAATAATAATGTAGGACAGTCCAAAGTAGACTCTAAGGAAACAAGGACCCCGGGAAGTTTTGTTGTTGTGTTTAGTTGATATATATTTTTTGAATTTTTTGGTTATTGTTTTATTTTGGTTATTTTTTCCTCCTCTCCTGGCTATTTATTTGGTATGAATAGATGTTTTAAATAATATGAACCGGACCTTCAAGAGCCTTAAATAGTTTGTTTCTTGGATAATTTATTATGATCATGTGAACTGTACTCACGGGGGAAAGATTATTTTGTGAGGCCAAGCAACCTGCTCAGAGTCTATTTTTCTACATGTCCCTCGTCCCGGCTGTCAGAAAACAAACCTCTGTCCCTGCCATCCCTCCCTTCCATCTCCTGCTTCTCAGCAAGTGCAAACTCAAACGTGCTTCATGGGGGTCCACAAATTATATTTTTATACACAGAATTGTAAATTAGATTTTTTGAGAGATCAATACTTAACTGAATTACATTTCATTTTTGAAATAGTGTAAAATATGAAAATATATTATTTTAATTTAACTAGCTTCCGATGTAACAGCCATCTCCTCTGTTGTCTTTATGGTTTCATATTCCCTTTGTATTCACCATTTTGCCACATTCTTGGAAGCCAAGACTGTTACACACACACAACACACACTTTTCTTTGCTTTTCTTTTTTTTTTTTTTTTTTTTTTTTTTTTTTTTTTTTGACAAACTGGAAGAACTCTGTTATTTTTAACTTCAAAGAATTTATTAGAAGATAATATTTTTTAAAAGCGCACATAGTGATGAGCCCATGAGGACGGAGCCTGCAGTTTGTACAGAGAAAACAAAAGGATGTTTTTGCATTAATAAATTGAGAAATAACTGCTGTAAATTTACTAAAATGTATTTTTGAATATTTTGTAATAGTTTTATAGAAATAAAATGTGCCATGCACAGACCGCTTAGTATCTAATAACTAAGAATCCCCGTTGCAGCCCTTTTTCTTTTTTTTTTTTTTTTTTTTGGCTTCTTTGCTTGGGAAACCCAGTGCTCACAGGCGCTCCCAATATTCTATTTAGATGTGTTGCTTATACTGTGAACTCAGACTGACTGACTTAGGTAACCAAAGTAGGCACACAAACCAACTTCTTTCTTCTCATGGCTGGAGAAACCTCAGCTCTGTTTGTATTTATTGTGTGACGCTCTTCCTACGCTCCCAAAGGTTGGGGGTGCCACCCGTGGGGACTGTGCTGTCCCCCTAACCCCACCCCTTAACTAGCAAAGCCTAATGTGTAAGCCCAGAGGAGGTGGCCTGGAGACGGCCACCGAGAACCTTCTCCTAGGACTCCTGTGTGTGGTTGCTGGGCAGACCCCTGGCCTGACCCTGTTCGTGCTGTCTGTGATCCGTAGGGAGGAAGCTCATTGCTGCTTTCTGAGGTCCTGTTGTGCCCCTTCCAGAAAGCATCCTTAGAAGAGAGGACCAGGTTTGATCTTCTCTGAAGCTCTATCCTCTTTTCTTGAGGGTCCCCTTAAATCCGAGTGGCAAGCCCACAGTGGCATGGGCCAGTCGCTGGAATGTCGGGGCTGCTGTTGAGGTCCTCAGGCTACGCTGGTTGTCTGTGTGACATGGCGGTCAGGCGTGGACTTTGATCCCTGTTGAGTGAGCATGCTGCTGTGGGTGCTGGGCTGGGGAAGGTCCTTCCATGCTTCATGCTGCCTTGGAGGCCAAGAGGGTCTCTGCCCTTGGCGGTTGTCAGGGTCCCAGGTGGAGGACTACTACCGGTTCTTTGGCTTACAGAAGATGTCTGCCATGCTTTGTGCTTTGGGCTAAATTATCTGAGCAGGCTGAGCCTTGGAAGGGTGGCGCTGCATGAGCTCGGGGCCTCCTAGCAGCTGGAGCCTGTGTGGAAGGTGGTCCAGGCTTAGGGAGTGGGAGTGAACAGACTTCAGCCCCACCTGGCAGGGGCTCGCTCCTGAGGCTGGGACCAGTCCCTGAAGGTTTGCTCTGCTGAGGGTCTGCCCTTGAGTGGCCTTCCGGGGAGGCTGTGTGCCCAGGTGGATGGCACAGGGCCTCTGGAGCCTCCACAGGGCCGGGCCCTCTGTGCAGGAGCAGTCCTCAGCCATTTTCTGTAAAAGACTTTTCTTTGGTGTTCTGGATGGTCAGCAGGTTCCAGGCTGATGTTTACAATCTCGGAGGAAGTGTGATGGTTTCTGTTCTTTTGACAGTTCGGTATAATTTCAAGTCAGTCAAAAGTGAAGCCAGAAGCACTGGGCACAGCAGCTCCTCTGGCTGTGTTGACAGATCTGGCGATGTGGCCGTGCGGCCCAGATGGTCAGAGAGAAGCCAGTCATTGGCCAAGCCCCAAGGTGCCTGAGGCCATGGTGCAGCTCTGCTGGTGACTGGGGCACCTTGGAGCAGACCCTCACCCAGACGGGAAATCCTGACTCCTGGGTGGCACTGCCTCCTGGACAGGCCCGGTGACAGTGTCCATGCTGCTGGGTGCTGTCCCCAGCCCTCCTGGTCTGTCTTCTTAAGATCCGCCCACTGCTTTATATTTAAAATTCTCTTTTTCACAGGCAAGGAAAGGAAACCACTGCTTAGAGAAACTAGGTACAGGGCATCAAGAGGGTGCAGCCCAGCCCCGCCAGGACGAGGGGCCCACTTCGCATTCAGGGTTGACGGAGCCAAGAGTTTGTGCAAAATGTACGCTTGGTGGTTGCTGCCAGCCTCCCTCATGACTAAATGCATATCTATTCCTGTCAAAACGTGTATCAGAATGTACTTGAAACTGTTATCTTTGTGCTCTATTGTTTGAATAATTAAAGAAATTACAGAGACTCTCTTCAGTGTCTGTGATGTGGCAGAACCCGCTCCCAAACTGTCATCTGTGTTTCTCATCGTCTTCCACGAGGTAGTGCTGGGAATGTGAAGGAAATTCTCATTGAGCGTGTAGACTCCGTTCTCTCAATGGGTGGGATTGGTCAGGCTTTGGGACTTTTTACTGGTCCTAGGAGGCAGGCACGTGACGCCACTGTCTGAGGGAGTTGACAGAGCTGTCAGCATCACACCCACAGGGGAAACATGGGGCAGACATGCAGGGAATGCTGGTCAGTTGCAAGATTTGGCAAGAAAGCAGCAGAGCACCTGCCGGGGAGGCAAGCGGGCCTGCAGGGAGCCAGCTCTTCCTCAGTGCAGCCGCTCTGGCTTTCCGGATGGTGATCCACTCCAGGAGGCTGAGAAGCCCAGGAAGTGACTTCCGTGTGACTTCTTGAAAAGGAGTCACAAAACCCTTCGTGAACCCTGCCGTTTCTGGGCACTCCCTGGGATTTATGTTCCAGGACAGAGCTAGGCAAATTTTGGCCTCTGGGACAAATCTGGTCTGAGGCCTGTTTTCACATAGCCCCTGGGCTGAGACTGTTTTTACATTTTTTAATGTTTAAAAACAAAGTCTAACGAAGACTGCTATTCCTCAATGTGACAATTCCGTGAAACCCAAATTTCAGTGTCCATCCATAGTTTTATTGAAACACACCCACACTCACTCACGTATTGTCTGAAGTAGCTTCTCCACTAGCCCAGAGGAAAGCAACAGAAACCACCCATCCCGCACAGCCTGGTGTTTACTCTCTGGCTCTCTGCCCAAGTTTGCCAACCCTCTTTCTAGGATTTTGGATTGAAATCAAGCTTGGCATAGGGGCTGGGGGCTGAGGACAGGAGTTGGAACACAGTGGCCTGTCTACCATCGCAGCGTATTTCTCAATTAGAATTCAATTAGAATTGCCCACCCACTCCTGCTTCTTCCTGAGAGCCATAGGGGCCTCAGGAGGTTAACAAGTCCAGGAAGACCCCGGGGGCAGCCACGTCTGCCTGGCAGGGCAACAGCACCCTTCGATGCTGATCAAGTGTGTGCGAGGCACACCCTGTGCAGGAGAGGCGGGGCCCAGACACAGCCCGCGGAGTCCCCAGAGCAGTTAGCAGAAGCCGCACGGGTGTTACTCTTCTCATCCGTGCAGATCACACCATAGTGAGAAAACAGTAAGTCTGGATTTGGAGATGCTTTCTTTTTTTTTTTTTTTTTTTTTTTTTTTTGGCTGAGCTTAATTTTCTCAAATTAAGAACAAAATTTTTTTTCACATTTCACTCTATAAACAAGCACTGGGTCCTCTTAGTGAAGAGGGAGGCATGAAAGTGGTATGGAGGGTTGCATTTTAATGGCTATCTTTGGTTTGGAAATGAGGGTAGCTGTGTTTTCAGATGGGGTAAAGAGGTTGAAAAAAGAGGGTTGAACATCGGAAAACTGAAGATAGAGTAGAAGACAGATTGCGCCAGGAATCAAAGGAAAAAACTCTCCCCACACAGAGTTGATGCCTGGATGGAATCCTCCAGCCCAGGTGAGGGCCCAAGCGTTTGCTTCCGGGGAAAGTGGACAGCAAAGCCCATTGCACCTGGGAAAGCTCCTTCCTCCAGATCTGAGGTTAACGTAAGGATTTGCCTTAGAACCCTGCAACCTAAAGACAGCAAAATAAACCCATTGCCTCTGCGAGGAGCGTGAAGGCCCCACCCCTTGAGCGTCTGTTCACCCCATGGCTTAGGTCTCAGAATCCCAGCTGAAGGCCTCTGGCCAGAACTCTGCGCTCTCATGGCCCAGGCGGCCCTCTAGCAGGCAGGCCCCACCGGCCAGGAGCCTCCACAGAGGAATGGGACTGTGGAGAGGACAATGTGGGCCCTACCATTTCAGAAAGAGGGTCAGAGTCTCTGCGCAGCCCGGGAAGTCAAGGCACGGTTGAGCCTGCCCGTGTTTACTCCACTGCGCGCCATTCTTAGGGCTGCTGTTCTTCTTACGATTCTGTGAGTGGCAAGGGACAGCACAATCTTCCCTCCCGTGCCTGGGGCCTCAGAGGGTGAGCCTTGGCCCAGTGTCCAGGTCCCACCTCCC